AAGGGCATCTCGTGGGTGGCACTGCCATGGGGCCCATGGCTGGGCTTGGCTGTACACCCTGGGATCAGCTGAACCACCTTCCCTCAGACTGCCCCCCAACACTTGCTCAGCTTTGCTTAGCTGAAATATGATCTCTGACCCTTGACAGATCGCCTACATCGGTCAACGTGACCCAAACTGTTTGGTTTCTGCAGATGTAATCATTTCCATTTCTGTGACCTACCCCCCCAGCCCCACCCAAGATTTACAAAGTAGCAGCTGCTGCCATCCCTCTGCACACAGACAGCTGACTTGCCTGCTGATTGTGAACATCCCAGTAATCCAAGTCCTAATGGTATTTACTCAGTCCAGCCGGCTTAGCCCCCTGAACAAGGTTTAGTCTCATTTATCTCGTCAGAGATGAGCCACGTCCTTAATATCCTTCTGTTGACTTTGAGCACACCAGCATCACTGAGGTCGCTGAGAGGCAAGCCAGGCCCCTGCCCTTTTAACACACTCAAATTCCCAACTGTCAGGCTCCCTACCTTCCAGCCAGCAAGAACCACCTTTCCACCCCTCCCCCTGCATGGGTCTGTAGGCAGGGAGGCAGATGAGGCCAACATATACGTGCCCGGGACATCTGTGTTCTCGAGGATATGGTCTGGGATCTCTGTAGCAAACCCACCCTAATTGTAATGTTTCCATCACATTGCAGTTGGCTGCATTTTGGCGTTCGTTCGTTAGCTGTTATATCTTTAACACAAGATATTTTTAGCTCTGCCTCACAGGTGAGGAGCTAGAAATGAAGGGACTTGCCCAAGGTCATCAGCCCTTGGTCACAGGCTTCCCCCCAAGGGTTCTCCAGGCCCTGGCCCTTGTACATGCTCTAACCTCACTCAGCTGTTTGGGGCATTTCATCCCCCAGAGCACAGAGTAATGAACATTCAGAGCCCAAGGCTAAGCTGCTGGGGGAGGGAGAGGTTCTGAGAGCATGTTGGTACCTGCCCCCCCCCCCCCCCCACAGCAGATTGCTCGAATGCCCAGCTCACCTGTCCCTGCCTGGCTGGACTGAGTGTCATTTGGAAACACAAGCTCTACCTTCCTCATTTTCCCCACCTTCCCTCTGCTGTGTTCCTTAGCCCCTCAGCTGGGCAGAACTGAAAGACGGTTGTCAGAGGGTATTATACAGAACCCCTGAAGTGTATATGGAGCCACTGAAGTCTGCCGTAGGGCCCAGACTTACATGGGCACCTTACCTTCCTTTAAGTTGGTCAGGTGAAAAGGCCCAGGGCTGCTGAGGCCACGCTTGGCCACAGGCCCGTGTTTAGCCGATGGGCCTGCTCTCCTCACCCAGGTTCTTCAGGACTCTGCTGCAGGTGGAAAAGTAGATTTATTGCCTTATGAAAGTGATTTCAGCAAGTAACAAAGAACTGGGCTTTCACTTTTTTCCTCTGGTTTCTTTCTGTGTGAGTTCTGTTCTGTCCTACCTTAATGAGCTTCTCTCCTTGGGGATGGGGTGGGATCCAGCCACTGCTGTCATGACTGTAGGTGCTCCTGGCTGATAGCAGCCTATCTTATGGAGAAAAGAGCTTCTTTTTGTCCTGACTCCATTGTAGACTCAGGGCTCTGGTTGCCCAGTCCTGGGTGACCCATGGTGGATCAGCACCTAATCCACAAGCCCTTCTCTGTGGCTTTGGGAGTTGGGACTCACCCCATCAGGATCATAAAGAGTGGGAGAGGGAACAGTATCTCAAAGGAAGGGAGGTAAGAGTGTCATTACTGGGAGGTGGGACAGAGGGGATGCTGGGCAGATACAGGCCCACACCACATAGCCACAGACGACCTGACCTGGGACTAGTAAGTTGTGCCTGGTTCAGAGTGTTCCACCATCTCATCTCCTGTCCCCATGGCCACTGTCCTGCTCCTGGGCCCTCTCTGGTTTCTGTGTGGCTTGAAGGAGCTTGTCATCAACTCTTCATTTTACCTTGGGTTTGGTATTTGCTGAGGAAGGAGGAGCAGGAGCAGGTTCTGCTTGCTGGGCAGGGTCTGGGTCCTGCATCATCCTTCCCAGCCAGCAGACCTCCTTGGCACTATCAGCAGCATGACCTCCTGATCTGCACCTACTTGTCAGCTGCACCTCTTGGCCCCATTTCCATGACTTTCCAGGGCAGCTGTTCATTCAGTGGTCTCACCTCTCCATACACACTCATGCTCTTCCCTGAGCACCTGCCCTTCCTCCTGTCCACAAGCTATCTTCTTCTGCCTCCTGCAGTGTCTCTTCTCCAGTGCAGCCCTCCTGGCTCTTCCAGCCCAGACCTTCCTGTTTTTTTCTCAGAACCCCCACCGGCCTTAGGTTCAGAGCCACTTGGTCTGGCCTAATGTTCCATATTGTTCATTCCCTCTGTAACTTCTAAGTAAAATCTGGTGGTGTGGTCTCTCTCCTCTGTGTGGATCCTGGCTTGTTCAGTGCTAGAGAGCTGCTATTCTTCCCCAAAGACCCGTCCTGCATGTGGGGCTTCCCTGAGCAGCTGCCTAGCAGCGGCTTGCCTCTACATCTTTCCTAGGACAGACTGCTGTCTGGCCCTCTGTCACTTACATCAGGGTCCCGGGGACAAGAAGTACCCAGGAAGCCATATCTCTTACTGGCTTTTGGCGTCTTTCCTTTCCTCCCAGTCAGTTTACTTCCTCTTTGGAGGATCCTGAGGATTTGCCTACACGGTATGTGCCCTCCCCTTTAGGCCCTGGTACTTCATTTCTTGTCGGTGCTTTGGTTCCTTTAGGGGTTTGAGCCTTCTCTCCCCTCCTAACAAGTAAGATATGGGTGAGCACAGTTCCCCTCTCTCCCAACACTGCCTCCTATTCGTGACAGGTCTGCTCCTCTGGGTGGTGCCCTGGCGGGTCCCTGTACCCAGCATGCTCAAGTGGATCTCCTAGGACACCCCTTGTCTTCCGGGGTTGGCCGGGTGATGATCTCATCTCTAGGTTTTGTTCTCAGCAGATCCATAGACAAGCACAAAGTTCCATGTGCTTTCTTTGGAGGACCTTGTCCCTGCCACTGTGTGGGCCCATGACGCATGGTGCTCCCTGTGAGGCTGATGTGATGGTTGGGTCTCGCAGCCCCCCTTCCTTGGGAGGCAGCTTTTGACGTTTGTGTGAATTTCTCAGCATGGTCCTCTTTTCCCAGAAAAGACCCTGCCTGTTGCGGGTGAGTGTTCCTCAGGCACGTGATGGCAGAGACAGTCCTGATCAGCTCACGCTTTGATGAAGCAGCTGCCTTTCTCAAGTGGGGGAAGCAGGGGGCAGGGGAGAGGCTCAGCTCCCCGGCCCCCCTGCATCGGTGCCGACCTGCCTGTCTGGAGAGGAGCTGTCAGCTTCCCTTCCCCAGAGACCCTGACCCATCGCCAGCCTGCCCCTGAGACATGCCAGTGGAGCTGCGGTGGGACAGGCTAGCACCCACCCTGCACGTCCTTTCTGGCTGAGAGGATGCAGAGGGACCCATGCACCCCCCATTTAGAGCAGGAAAACTGGCTCAGCGTGCTGGGTCTTCTTTGAAACTTGAAGCTGGTGCCCGGTAGGATCGGGCCCCATCACCACGCCATCAGGCCAGCTTGGCCCAAGCACCTGCTGTGTGGCAGGCCCTTTCCTGCGAGTGCAGTGTGAACTCTCTTGTTCCCTGCCTCCCACTTCCTCTGGGTCTCAGGCCCTGCTTCACTCTCCACGATGCCATGAGGGCCCCTTGCCGAGGTTGGGGTTTAGGAGGAACAGGTGCTCTTTGGGTCCCCAGGGAGCTCGTGGCCTTGCTAAGGTGAAGCAGCCAGAGCCAAGAAGAGACTCAGTGCCCTTTGTGGGCTGTCTGGGTGAGTGTGAGAGCCACTCTGTGACCTCTGGTCTGGCCCCTCCCTTTCCTTCTGGCCTCGGGCTTTTCTTCTCTGAGGCCTCTTAAGTGTCTGGCGAGGGAGCCTTGACCTCCCTTGAAGGCCTGACTACACAGGTCCCTGTGCTTGTCACTTCCTCCCTAATTGATCATAATTTGATCTTGGAAAGCAAGAGGTTCCCAGACATGTCTCCTGCCTGGCACCCTGCCCTGTGGAGGTCTCACCAGCCAGGCCCCTATGCTTCCGTCCAGGAGAGTTGTGCCTGAATGTTTGAACCTCCTCTCTCTTTCTCCAGCCCAGAATGGGAAGAGGAGTTGGAGAGGCAGCTCTAGGTTTTGAGTGTTACAGTGTTGCTGTGTGTTGGTTGGTACAGTCCTGGTTGTGCACTGTGTGTTGATTCATTCTGGCCCGCTTTTCCTGGGCCTCAGGGCGTAGGCTGTGTGCTGAGCGCTGAGAACATGCTGAGAACACGGCGGCAATCACAGCAGCTACTCTCACAGTGGGGAGGCACCTAGGTTGCTCCTGTTTTAAGATCTGCTCAGGTTAAGAGGCTGCCTGGATCTCTTTCGTTCTTGCTGTCTTTTTCCCACAAGCATTGACCACATGTTGTCTGTGTGCTCCACCCAGGTGAGGAAAGAGGAGCAAGTCCCAGCACGTGGCCTGGAGGAGCTCATGCTCAGAGAACAGACCTTTTAGTAATTGCCCCCCAGTGTGTGATTGCCTGGGGTGATGGAAGGAGGAAGAACCAATGTAGGCCTGGGGAGTGTGAAGGAAGGCTTTCGTGGGAGGGACACTGAGTAGCGCCTTTAGCATCAAGAGATCTTAAAAGGGTGGAGGTGATTTCTCTTCCCAGATCACTCCAGCCCGTTGGCTCCTGGGTGGTAGGACAGTGTGAGAGCTGTTGGCCCTGTCATTTTGGCCATGGGCCTTTGTACCCAGGTGGACGTATAGCCCTTCACCTGTTCACCTAGCTAAGTTCGAGCTTGTCCCAAGTGGGAACCCTCCCTTGAGCACCTAATTTTCCCCAGGGAATGGCTGGGACATTATCATCCCCCTAACCACCCAGATCCCTGGACTGAACACAGTGGCGTGCCCCCACCTTGGTGAGGAGGTGCAGTGTCATGCTGTCCTGTGCTTTCCCTCCAGCAACCCAAAGGTCCAAGTAGAGGCCATTGAAGGGGGAGCCCTACAGAAGCTGCTGGTCATCCTGGCTACAGAGCAGCCTCTCCCTGCAAAGAAGAAGGTATGTATCTGCTCCCTTCCTCTTGTCCAGACCCTAGTTCATCTGTGGAGCCTGAAAGGCAAGGGTCCCTTTTCAGGCTGTCCCTGTCACCCTTGGGGACCTGAGTGGTCATCCATCCACTGGCTGGCATACGGGGGAGAGGTCCCACTCACCTCACGCAGCATGGCCGCCTGCCGAGGCATCTGGAGGCCTACATTCAGCTCCCATAATAGTCTGGGGTACCACCCTCTGGGTTCCTGTGGTGGAATTCTGTCTGCCCATGGGGCAATGTTGGAGGTGTCTGACCCCTCTTCTGGCTCTCACAGACCTGTGTTCTGGGGTGGAGCTGGACCTGAGGGGGGCGGGTGGGGCCGGGAAGAATGGAGGCTGGGCTGGGGTTGTGGGGGCACCTCTGGCTGCCTTTGCTGGGCCCCGGAGCAGGGCCAGCTCCATGTGGCTCCTACCGTCTGCAGGTCCTGTTTGCGCTGTGCTCCCTTCTGCGGCACTTCCCCTACGCCCAGCAGCAGTTCCTGAAACTGGGGGGGCTGCAGGTCCTGAGGAGCCTGGTGCAGGCGAAGGGCACAGAGGTGCTGGCCGTGCGCGTGGTCACTCTGCTTTATGACCTGGTCACTGAAAAGGTGAGTGCCCGGACCTATGGTGCTTCCACGTCACATGGCTTTGTTTTGCTTCTGGCCTTTTGGCCCTGGCCTCCTCCCACGTCTCTTCCAGCCCGCCTTCCATCCTCCTAATGGTGCTCCCGAGAAAACGTGTCAGACTGTGCTGGGCAGACAGGGAGGCTGTGGGAGCCCCTCCCTGGGGCCCCGAACCCAGAATTTCTGAGGCCTCAGGGAGGGTGTCCCATGGGAAGTGACGGCTAAACTGAAACCTGAGGTCTGGTGAGGAGGGGAAGGGGCGGGGGCGCTGGCGGGGGGGACGAGGGGTGCAGGGCAGAGTGTGCCAGCGTGATGGAGGGCCAGAAATGGCCAGGATCGGCCCTTCATGGAATGACAGGTCATTTGGCTAAAGCCTAGGGTAGGGTGATGGGGAGCAGGTGGGACGGAGCAGCTGTGTCTGGGAGCCCTCGAAGCAGCCGGAACACCAATTAGCCAGAGGCTGGAATAATGCTGAATCTTTAGATTCTAGAAACGTGATCTTTAGATTTTTAGGTTTAGATTTTGAGATTTAGATCTTAGATCTTTAGAGCCTAGAAACATGGAGGTGCCTCCTCTGGGAGCTTTGGCCCTGGGTAAGGGCTCAGAATGGCCGCCCTCCAGGGGCCCAGGGAACCCTGTTGTTGCCACCTGGCAGGAGAGTCCAACCCACTTTGGTCTTTGTGAGCCTGAAAGGTGTCTTAATTAAGAAGAGAGTGCAGCCAGCCAGGTCTGGATTCTGAATGCAGCGGCTGCAGAGAGCGTTAGCAGAACTTTCTCAGCTGCCTCTCTGGCCACACTCTCCCTAGAACAGCTGCCTGCGGATTCGGGGAGCAGGGCTGGGCAACCGCCGGAACCACCGCTGAGTGTCCGAGGCTGAGAGGCCCCGGGCCCGCCCGCCTGCCCCTGCCTCAGCCTGAGGGTCAGAGTTGTCTAGAGCTGCTTCTCTGTCTGTTAGTTGCTGTTGTGTGTGCGCTGACTCTCTGGGCCTGCCTTGTCTTTCATTCCCTTTGCTTCTTTCTCCGCCTCTCGCGCTCCCCCCTCCTCTCTCTTCTTCTCTCCCTCTCTCTCTTTTCCTCTTTCTCTCTCTCCAAGCTGCAGAAACCCAGAACAGCAGGCAGCCATGTGGTGCTCACATCCAGTTAATAAGGCCTGTGCACAGTTGACTTCCTGGCAACAGGCCAGCAAGCCTGGAGCAGGACCTGCATGTCGGCTTGGCGTTTCCCAGGAGAAACTGACCTCTTTCCTCTGGTGAATTCGGTGTCTCTTTGCTGCCCCCAGTCCTGGTGTGGCAGGTGCCACGGCAATGGTGTATCACCGGAGAGCTACCCGAGTCAGCTGGCCCCCAGAGCTCACCTGGAGGCTCGGGGTGCTGGGAACACTGGTGTCTCTGTGCAGAGAGTACAGAGATAACTGTCCTTCTGCAGGTGGGGAGGACGGTGGAGGAGTTTCAGCCAGCCAGTGAGCTCAGGACTGTGTCCGCCAGACTGTGCTTGAGGCAGCCGGAGCTTCTCTGTGCTTGCCGTTCCTCAGAAAGAGCCCGGGGCTGGATCCAGAGCTGCATGAGGTGGAGGCGTGCCAGGGTGCCCTTGGAGGTGCCCTACACCTTGAGGGTGTCGTGGGAAAGTAGCAGCTGCACTGCAGAGTTCCCACGGAGAGTGGACCCACCTCTCAGATTGTTGCTTCTACAGAGATGAGATGCTGGCCTCTGGTCATGAGTCCACATCCATTCCTGCCTCCGTGGAGCTGAAGGGACACGGGTGACCCACCCACTGGTTCCTTCCACGAGTGTTGACTGGATGTGTGTCCTACCCGGTGCTGGTCTAGATCCACAGTCCCTGCCCTCCTGGTGCTTTGGGGCAGACTTTCATCACAGTAGCTCCTGGAGCATGTGGGCTGCAGAGGCTCACAACTGGGAGACTCTGACCTGTTCTGGCAAGTCAGGCGAGGCAGTGAGATCTGAGGGGTGAGTTAACTGTGGAGTTGGAGTTAGGTGGGAGTGCGCCTCCAAGCTGCACCCTAAAGGCTCTGGGGGACAGTTCGTGTGACAGGTGCATGGGTGAGGGCGTGTGTGGGGACGAGGCCAAGCACAGGTTGGGGTGGACCCTGCAGGGCCTTGAAGTCCTTGGGAAGGGATTAGTTACGAACATCAGAAATGCCCAGCTGTGCAGGGTGTGGGGCTGGACGGCAGTCAGCCGACTGGAGGAGGCAGGTCGGGAGTGGGAGGCAGGGGGCTGAGTGGTGCAGTGAGGAGCAGTGGACGTGGGGACTTGGATGTTCTGGAGGTGCAGCTGGGGCACGCGGGGTAGCTTAGGACAGGACTGTCAGAACCCTCTCGTCCTTTTCTGTGCCAGGATGCTGATCCCTGCCTGTCCCTGCTTCCTCCACCAGCCCTGACAGACCCCAAGGCCATCAGGTGGTGCTCTGTGGCCCCTGCTCTTTGCCTGGGCTTTCCTCTTCCCTGTCCTCAGCAGCCTCGTTCTCACCTGGAGTAAGGGCAGAGATTCCTCTTTCTCCTTGCAGGTACATTCAGTACAGCCAGTAAAGCACATCTCCACCCCTGCTCACCCTCCACCTCTGCGTAGCCTTCCCCCGACATTGGGAAGAAGCTGGTCACTCGTCAGGTTTCAGGCACGTCTGCCTCTGGCAGCCTGGCGGCCATGACTCCCACCATATTGTGCTGATGAGGCTGGGTCTCTGTACTTGACAGCCACCGGCCAAGCTTGTGACTTTCTGCCCAAACTTGTCTCAACTCCCCAGGCCCTTGGCATGAAGGCCACACACAGCCAGGGCTCTGTGTGCTCTGGGCCTAGCCAGACCCTCACGCCCCACGGACCAGAACAGCCTGACATTCTTAACAAAGGAGGTGGGCCTCAGCCTGTTGTTGCGACCCCCCTGCGTGCGGACCCTCCACCCTCGTCCACTTGGACAACTCCCACGCAGCCCTCCAGACTCAGGGAAGCGCCATCCTGCTCTCTGCGCTGTGCCCTCGCTCCTCTGAGGGGGTGGGGCTAGCGGAGGTGAGGCCGCCGCCGCCGCTGTACGTACAGCTCATGGGCTCTGAGGTACAGACGGTGTGACTCTAACTTGATATCCGAGCTCCCGCTGCCGGGGGTGCTGTGTGCGGGGCACTGGCTGTGTGTCACACAGGAGATGACACCGTGCCAGCCCGAGGCCGTCCGGCTGTCAGTGGTGGAGCAGGAATTCGAACCCAGACTGTTGGCCCCCACAGTGCACTGCTGAGCTAAAGTTTTTGTGCTACTTAGGAATTACGCAGTTAATTTGTATTCTCCTGCTAGACCCTGAGCTCCTTGAGGGCAGGGATCGTGTCTCCATCTTGGTTTCTCTGGCATATTGCAGTTGTTTTTGATGAGTGGATGGATGGACAGACAAATGAACCTCTGGATGGATGGGTGGGGGAGCCCGTGTGAAGCCGTGAATCCAGCTGGCCCTCTCCCATGTTGGGTCTTTGAGGCCCAGAAGGATGGAGGAAGATGGGTCAGCCACATTGCCTTCCTATCTGAATGGGGGCCCTGACCGCTGTGTGTCTTCTGTCCCCCAACCCCACCCCTGGCACCTGGATGTGCGGACGGCAGATGTTTGCTGAGGAGGAGGCCGAGCTGACGTGGGAGACGTCCCCAGAGAAGCTGCAGCAGTATCGCCAGGTGCACCTCCTGCCGGGCCTGCGGGAGCAGGGCTGGTGCGAGATCACTGCCCGCCTCCTGGCCCTCCCGGAGCACGATGCCCGAGAAAAGGTGCTGCAGACGCTGGGCGCCCTCCTGGCCACCTGCCGGGACCGCTACCGTCAGGACCCCCAGCTCAGCAGAACGCTGGTCAGCCTGCAGGCAGAGTACCAGGCTCTGGCCGCCCTGGAGCTCCAAGACGGTGAGGATGAGGGCTACTTCCGGGAACTGCTGGGCTCCATCAACAGCTTGCTGAAGGAGTTGCGATGAGGCTGCTCCCCAGCACTGGGACTGGACTGGGACTTTAGTGACGCTGATGGGCACCAGCTTGGCTGGGCTCTTCAGGGGACACCAGCCAGGAGGGAGGACTTCCCTACTGGGGCCTGGACACCATCTGGGTAGTGCTGGCTTGGCCATTAAATGGAGGCATGAGGGCCGTTGTCTGTTGTGTGTCTCTGCAGACTGGACACAGTCCTGTGGTTGGGGGACCGTATCTAGGAGCCCCCAGGTTGGGTAGATAGGCACCTGAGGAGCCCCTGATGACACGGCGGATGATCAGCCCAGGGCGTCCAGTAATAGGCCCCATGGGAAGGGTCTGGGCTCAGGAGTTGGAAAACCCTGGCTGCGACCCAGCTCTTCCCCACCCAGTAGCTCTGTGACCTTGGCAAGTCATTTGCCTTCCCCTGGGCCTGTTTTCCCAGCTGTCGCAGGGGAGTGCCGTTAAGTGTGAGAAAATATGCATAAAGCACCACAGCAGGGTCAGGCGCCCTGCTTGTTCTTTCCCCCACCTGGCTCTGACGGAAGGTCTGGGGGATCATCTCGCTGCCCCCTGTGCCCCGGACATAGCTTTGACGCCCCTGGCTGTGTGTCAGCCCCAGCAGCTTACAGGCTGGGGGCAGGGTGCTGGAAGGACTGGGGGTGGCCTGCGGCACTCCGGAGGACCCTTGGGTGTAGGCCTCGCTCTTGGAGAGGTGTGATCTCCCTGAAACTGGAAGAAGGCCCGCCTGACAGGGCCCTCTGTGCCCTCGCCCCTCCCCCGTGTCCACCGAGGTGCACTGCGGGGGTGGCCTCGGAGGCGGGGGCAGCCGAGCCCGGCAAGTCCCGGCTCCCACCCCACAGGAGCCCTGTGCCAGGCCTGGAGCCTGCTGCAGGTTGCCATGGCAACCCCGGCCCTGGGCTTTCCTGATTTGGATTCTGGTGCATTTGTTTTTCAGCCTTTCCCAGTGCATCACAGGCTCACTCCTGCTGCTTAGGCAGCCCCTCCTGGCCTCTGTGTAGAAATCTCCCCTTCCTGGTCTGGCCTGTAGAAAGCTCAGCTTCACGGAGCTCAGGGGGAAACTGAGGCCTGCACAAATATAGGGTAGTGGGTGGCTTCCTTCCCCAAAGTCCCTTGGCTTGGCCTCACACCCTCTTAGGCCCAGCTCATGCCACAACACACAGGAAGCTCGGGAGAGAGCTGTCGCCTGCACACAACCCCCCCAGGAAGGCAGGAGGGAAGCAGGAACCTGTTTTGCCGGGGTAGGAAGCCTCATGGCTCAGGCATCGTGGGGATCAGACCCAAAGTCTACCATGTACTGGGTACTTTCTGCCTCATTGCCTTTAAAACCTTTAAGTCACCTTCTGAGTATGTTTTACAGATGGGGAAATCATGGCTCAGGGAGGCTGAATGGTCCCCTGAGGTCACACAGCTTTTGAGTGGCAGAGCTAGGATTTGGTTCCAACATGCTGTGGAAAGTTTGAATATGTGGCTCAGAAGGTGATAGTGTTGAATTTGACAGGCAGGGGTGGGAGGACCAGGATGGATGGCAGAACAGCTGTTCTGTGGTGAAGCAGGGCAGGGTTCAGAAAGGAGGTCCTGGGGCCTGGCTAGGGTCAAGGTCAAAGGTCCCTTTAAAGATGGTGTCAGCAGACTCTATGGGTGAATTTGAGAAAGGGGGGTGGGTGATAAGGCTGCCCCAGCACATGCTGGGAATGAAGGCTCGGGTTGGGGACAAGTCTGGTATGGGCCTCGTCCTGGCAGAGGTGAGCTCTGAGGTTGTGGGAGCAGCTGCACCTTTGAGCAAGGGCTGGTGAGGACCTGCTGAGCTGTGGAGGGGGACTTGTGTTGGCCTCGGATGGTAGCAGCTGGAGCTGGGCTTCCCCAGAGTCCCTGAGTCCTCTTTGACCACCAGGATCTGATCTGGGATATGGGAAGGGGTCCCCATGGAAGGAATAACACTAGTGGGGGCTTAATTGAGGACCCCAGTATCTCTCCACCCTTAGGCATGCTGCACAAAATAGTGTTTAACTATAAAGCCGGGGGCGGGTGGCCTCTGGGTTGCTCAGTTGGTTGAGCGTCTGCCTTCGGCTCAGGTCATGATCCCAGTTGTGGGGGGTTGAGCCCCGCATCGGGCTCCCTGCTCAGCGGGGAGCCTGCTTCTCTCTCCCTCTCCCTTTGCCCCTCCCCCTGCTCATGCTCGCTCGCTCGCTCTCAAATGAATAAATAAAATCGTAAAAAAGAGACGAAGCTAACAGGAGACGTTGGGCCCTGAGCTCTTTGTGGGGAGTGGAGGTGGGGGCGTGTCAGTGGGACTGAAGGAGCAGCCGGGGGCTGTGGGGAGGGAGCCGTACCAGTGCCCTGGTGCTGAGCACGCAGGCCGGGTGGTTGGACTGCTACTACCCTCTTCCCCACCCCACATCCACACAGACAAGACATAGCGAAGGGTGAAGTTTGGTCTGCACTCCTCTTACTAGCCTCTGACCTTCTGGACCTTGAAGCAAAACCTCCTGGACAAAGGCAGCAGTGTGACTCAGGGCTTTGGGCTCAGGCCCAGGCTGCTTGGCTGTGGGTTCTGGTTACACCACCCAGTTTATCACTGATGGTCTGCAAGCGAAAAGGAGACTTTCTCTGTCCTCCCTTTGGATGCCATCCTGGAAACCGTGGCCAAGAAGTAGGACCTGGGCTCAGGCAGAAAGTGGTAATGGGGGTTGTAGCCACCAGAACTCAGGGTGATGTGACTTCTTCCTGCCAGGCCCTAGAGGCTACTCTCCACTTCTCCCACCCTTGTCATGTGCTGGGGCCTTATGGCAAGGACAGGACGGAGAACTCTGACTGGCTGACACCCTCTAGACCCCGGATGATTATTGCTTCCCTGCTCCTCAGCAAGGCTGAATGAGGCCCTCTCTGTGGGAGGATGACAGGGATGGGGAGTGGAGTGGTCGTCTGCCGTCCCCACCCCACCCCTCAGCAGACTTGGTTTTCATTAATTCACTTGTTCATTTATTCTCTCATTCAGATTGTGTTTGTTGAACACTTACTTGGTTAGGTCCCAGGGTTCTGAGGTTGGTAAGTCACAAGCCCTGCCGTCAGGGAGCTCACGCTCTGGTGGGGGAGGCCTCGGTCAGTTGGAGCTGAGGGGGTGGTCAGAGGAGGCCAGTGATAGCCAAGCTGAGACCTGGAGGACACATGGAGAACAAGCCAGCTGGGGTAGGGAAAGGTTTCAGGCCCAAGAAGATAGAGGAAGACCTGTGCTGAGGGAGAGCGGTCCGATGGAGGAACCCACATGTTCAGTAGAACTGAAAGAAGTGATGGGGTGAGGGGCCAAGGGGCCACATGGAGCCACAGGGGTCGAGGGGACCACTTTGTCTAGCACCTCGTCAGCCTTGCTAAGGAGGGTGCCCTTGTCCTGATGGAGGGGAAGCAAGGGCTGGCTTGTAGGCACTCTCCTGGCTGCTGCAAAGTCATTTGCTCACTCTTTCATCCTGACTTAGTACAATTGCATCCACCAGGTCCTGTTCTAGGGCAGGAGGTGGTCAGAAGAACAGTGGTGGGAGGAGCGCACCGGGACAAGTATGCGAATGCTGAGAAAAATAGCATTTAATAGCATTCAAGCAGTGAATGCCAAGGAAAATAAAGTACAAGGGGAGAGAGTGTTAGGGGCTCCCTTTTTGGACCTAGTGGTCAGGGAAGGCTTCTCTGAGGAGATGCAGTGTGAACAGAAGGAGGCAAAGCAGTGAGCCCTGTGGGGGTCCGGGGCGGTGCTTTGTAGACCAGAGAGAGAGAGCAGAGACAGGTGTCGGAGGAAGAGCAAGAGTCCCAGTACAGAGAGAAGAGCGAGCACAGGAGGGCAGCTCCTGCTAGCTGTGGCCGGGACTTGAGCTTTCTCTTCGCAGTGGTGCACTGGAGAGCTAGGGGCCGAGGAGAGGCCTAACGGGACTGACACTTTAACGGGATCACTCTTGTTGCGTGGTGAACACAGGCAGCACGGGCAGGGACAGTGGCAGGGGGCCCAGCGCTGTGTCTGCTGCAGAGCCAGGTGGGAGTTGATGTGGTTTGATCCGAGGCGATGAGAGAGAAGGCTGTGCAAAGCGCTCGGACCCAGATGTGTTCCCAAGGTAGAGCTGAGAGGACGTGCTCGCGGACGGCATGTGGCTGAGAGGAGAGGGGTCAAGGGTGAATGAAGCCTCACTCTGGGGCTGGCTTCCCATTCAGAAGTGGGAAGGCAGAAAAGCAGGGGAATACTGGGACCTGGCCCCGTCCATACTGAGTTGGCCATTCAAGCCAGGGACGCCGACTTGGCAGCCAGAGCCAGTCTGCAGCCCAGGGGAGAGGCCGCCTGTGAGGAGCGCACGCCATACGGGTGTCCGAGGTGCTGTGAGCTGCTTGTTCGACACAGCTCCTGTCAAAATCAAATTCCACAAACTTAAAATTAAATGACATATTAAAAAAGCAAAAGTAATTTTTTTTTTTTAAAGATTTTATTTATTTATTTGACAGAGAGAGACACAGCGAGAGAGGGAACACAAGCAGGGGGAGTGGGAGAGGGAGAAGCAGGCTTCCCGCCGAGCGGAGAGCCCGACGCCGGGGCTCGATCCCAGGACCCTGGGATCATGACCCGAGCCGAAGGCAGACGCTCAACGACTGAGCCACCCAGGCACCCCAAAGCAAAAGTAATTTTTAAAAACCAGCAGAAGAAGAGCAACAGAAGAGCTTCTTGTAAACCAAAACAGAAGAAAAGGACATAATAAAGAGGCAGAAACCAATGAAACTGAAGACAGCAAAGTTAGAGAAAATCAAGGAAATGCAAGGTGGTTCTTTGAAAAAAGAAGACACAAATTACCCATCTCGGGAATTAAAAAGAGGATATCACTGCAGACCCTGCAAGCATTAAAAGGATAATGATTGAGCACTACAAACAATGCTAGGTCCATAAATTTGACAACTCAGAAGAAATGATGGACGAGTTCCTTGAAACTACTGTCTTTCATTGTATTAGTTTGCCACTGCTGCTCTAATAAATGACCACGAACTTCATACCTTAAAACAACTCAGATTTGCTCTACCGTAGTTCTGTAGCTCAGAAGTCAGACACTGTTCTCATGGGCCAAAACCCAGAGTCCAGAGTCGTCGGCCGGGCTGCATTCCTTCCTCGAGGCGCTGGGTAGGATCCGTTGCCTT